CCCCCAGCGCGCGCCTCGCACCCGGGGAGGGAGCCGGGGAAATCCGGGAGAGGAAATGAAGGCGACGCCATCCTTCGAGGCGAAGGCGGATTTTTTTCCGTGTGCTACGAACTGGGCCAGGTCCGTGCCTCAGACCTGAACGGGCGGCCCCGACAGCGACTGCGGGGTGTTGCGTTTTGGCGAGGGGCGCGTGGGAGACCGTGTAAATGACCACGAAAAGGAGGGACTGCCTTGGCGAAAGCCAGGCCACTCGGTCCCCTGTTCCGTTCCCCGCTGGGGGGGACCCGCCGCCAGGCTCCAGACGGCCGGGCGGGTGTGTTTTTGGGGCTCGTCGCACGGACTGGGAAGCTAGGCGGTGGGCAGGGGGACCCCCGCTCGGCCAGCCCAGCCGGAGAGGCCCTTAGAAAAGAACCCGCTTTGCAATCGACGAAACGTTTTGACTCGCGTTGCAATTTAATATTCTTTCCATACGTTGTGAGTTAGCCAGAGCAGAGGTTTTTGTTATTATTTTCTAAAAACATCTCCATTTTACAGAGAAGAAAGCCGGGGATCGGTTGCCCGATTCTTCTGATTTTAAAGTAAGGGTTCTCCGACCTGTTCATCAGAACAGGACAAATAGCAAATAGGATTAATGGCCCAGTGGGCCCCGTCCTCTCCGCCCGGAGCCCTCCCATCTCAGGCCAGGGCCACTGCCGACCAAGCCCCGGGTGTCCCGCGCGTGGGAGATGCCAGCGCCCTGACTCCACTGTTTCCTTCCAGAAGGTTCTCTGTGCAGAGATGTGCCCGCTGCCACCTTGGCATCTCCGCCTCCGAGATGGTCATGCGCGCGCGGGACTCCGTCTACCACCTGAGCTGCTTCACCTGCTCCACCTGCAACAAGACCCTGACCACGGGCGACCATTTCGGCATGAAGGACAGCCTGGTGTACTGTCGGGCCCACTTCGAGACGCTCTTGCAAGGAGAGTACCCAGCGCCGCTGAGCTACACGGAGCTGGCGGCCAAGGGCGGCGGCCTGGCCCTGCCTTATTTCAACGGCACCGGCACCGTGCAGAAGGGGCGGCCCCGGAAGCGAAAGAGCCCGGCGCTGGGAGTGGACATCGTCAATTACAGCTCAGGTGGGTCCCCACGGCCACCCTTCACCCCCAGGCCCCGCCGCCCTGGGAGAATCGGCAGGCTCTGTCCAGTCCAAGGTCTGGTTGCAAGAGGCCCTTCTCGCTGCTGGTTCCTCTCACTCGGATGGACGGAAGGAGGGAGAGTGGGAGAGGAGGGAGCGTTGGAGAGGGAGAGGGAGGGGGGAGAGGAACCTTTATTGAGGTTGTGGCAAAAAACACACTCATAACCAGGGGGCTGCAGTGACGTCCCCCAGCAGGCGAAGTCCACGAGCTCTGGTTGCCCATTAGTTAACGAGCCCATTAGTTTCTGGCTCCCACTCGGAGCCAAACAGCCCCAGGGCGATTACTGTGTGGAGGCCACATTATAGATCCCGGAGAGACGGTTTTTCTAAATACAGAGGGGGAAAAAAAAAAAATCTTCAGAGCCTAACCCCAGTCTGCCTGGAGGGGCAGAGGCTGTGGTCACCAGCCCAGAGTTAATCAGGGAAACAGTTGGCAAGAGTGTTGAAAAACCCAATCCCCGGTGTTGGTGAAAAGCCGCGGGAGGGGTGGCGATGGGTGTCTGCAGTTGAGCCGGGCTGGGCTGCCCCTTCTGTGAGTCAGGGTGCTGGCCTTCCAGCCCATTCCCTTGTGATACGCCAGCCGGACAGACATCCAGGCCCCGGGAGGTGGACCGAGCCTGCAGCTCAGGCCCACTCAGGAGGCCTAGTGGTGCCAGAGGGTGCCCTTGGATCCTGTACCAACCTTCTCTTTTAATTACAAACAAAACGTAGGCCCGGGTCACAGAGCCTCTCTCTTTCCTGCTGTTCAGGGACACACCTCTCAGAATCAGCCTCTCTCCCTGACCCACCTCCTATTGTTGGTAGCCAGCCGCACCCTCCACCCCCAGGTGAGGTTGGTGACAGGCCGGAGGACCAGAGTCTTAACTCTGAGAAGGATGGGAGCTCTTCTTGTGAGTCCCGGCCACTGGGAAGAGGGGTTCCAGACGACTTTGGGGGAACCTAAGGACTGGCCCTGTGGATGTGACTTCCCTGCCCAGAACCTCAGCCGAGGGACACTCAGGCTAGGGGCGTCCACTCTATTGGAAGGGACCTTGGGGACCTCACTGTGGCAACCCTGCTCTGTTCCCATGAGCACCCGGCTGCCAGCGGGAGCTTGGACATCCCAGGGCACAGGCAGATCCCGCTCGTTTTCTCTCGCAGTCCCCGAGCGCCTGGTGGGGCACCTGATCTTAGTTCTGGCCCAGCAGTGTCAGGCCAGAGAAGTGGTTCGTTCAAGGTCACACGGCAGAGTGAGCGAGTGGGGACGAGAGTCCTGCTCCGAGGAGCCCAGAGTTTTCAGGGCTCGACCCGCTGAGCACGGGGTTCCCCCCAGCCCCCTGCTCAACTCTCTCCGGGCTCTTCTCTGACTTAACCGAAGGGAACCCATCCATTTGGGCCGCGCGCCGCGTTCCAAGGAGAGCGGGGATCGGGGAGCCCAGCGCAGTTGCAGTTGCCCCTGGGGTTTCACGCCAGGGTCACTGGGCGAAGGGAAAAGGGCCGCCCGGCTTGCCAAGGCCCCCCCCTCCCCCACGGGTTTGTGTCGGGGCGGCCGGTGCCCCCGGTTTTGCAACCCCCGCCGGAGGGTCGGGGCCCTCGCGCCCTTCCCGCTGCGCTATGGCCAGGGCTCCGGTTCGGGGCCACTTTGCCCAGCGCGCTCACTTGGTCTCCTTAGATGCGTAGTTCCGGGGCAAGGCCGGCTGGGCAGTAACTGTTCTTTAATAGAAGATGACATCGGAATCCAGAGCCACTCACCGAGGCTCTAGTGCCCTAATTAGAGAGAGAGAGAGAGAGAGAGAGACGGAGACGGAGAGACAGGGAGAGGGGGAGAGGCGTCACCCACAGCCCTTTGGAGGGAGGGAATCCCTGAGCTCCCGGACAGTCCAGAGGGGTGAAGCATATTTCTTGCCAAGCGGAGGCGAGCCTGGCGTTCCGCTTGTTCATTATAACCTAATTAGCTAAATCTGATTTTGCTTTGGATCTGACTTTATGTTAGAAATATCCGAGGAGCTCCAAGAACAGTGGAATTTTGTTTCTCCTACTGCTCCGAGGAGAACCGGCGAGTACAAATTTATTTCTTTAAAAGAATGACGATTTCCTTCCATGTTGGTCTTTAGTTTGCAAACTGGTGCTGCTAGGAGACTATTGGGAGAGCCGATGCTTTCTTGCCGGTGAGGAGGAAGGAGTTGCTGAGGCCTCCCTGACCCCCAGGAGTCGGTACATCACTAGACCAGACGCCTCCTGACTCACCCGTCCCCTCCTTCCCGGACTTTCCCCAGAGATACGAGCGAATAGTACATATTTCTTTAATATCAGGTGAAAATTATCAAGAGATGCCTGACTTAAAATCAACCCACCGATAAAACAATGTTTGTGAGCCTAATGTCTGTTTGTTATAAAACTCACAAAAGAAATGGCTTCGGCCAATTAAAAAAAAAAACGTTAAAAGGCAGGACATAAAATGGCCCCGCGGTCTGAGCTCATTTTCTTTGGTTTTCCTCGGGCCTTCCGTTGCCCCCTCCGCTTCAACGCGAGCTAGTCTTGGGAAGGGTAACGTCGATACCAAACGAATATAATCTGTGCGTTGACCCATTTTCAAAATCATGTGCCCGAAATATGTTTATGACCCGAGGACTTCCAGGGAAGATGTGGAACTCGGCAAAGATCANCGGCCTGACGTTGCCCCCTCCGCTTCAACGCGAGCTAGTCTTGGGAAGGGTAACGTCGATACCAAACGAATATAATCTGTGCGTTGACCCATTTTCAAAATCATGTGCCCGAAATATGTTTATGACCCGAGGACTTCCAGGGAAGATGTGGAACTCGGCAAAGATCAGTCAGAGCTTGACATAGGGCAAGTGCCTTTTAGCGAGAACGTTCCCAATTTAGTTCTGTTTCTGTGCAAATAGAAAGGTGTTTTAGAAAGAGAAACGGACAATGTATTTGGAATGCCGGATTGAAATAAAAAAAAAAAAAACCCAGGGGTGAAACGATGTGGTCTAGGACAGGCAGCCCTTGTTTGGGTACTTTAGCGTTAACCGAGAGACGAAATTGTTGCCACCTCTGAAAAAATCTCCTTTCTTTAGGTTCTTTCTTTGCTTCCCAGTTTCGGAAGCTCCTGGTAGCGGTTCGCTCAGCCGGGCACTGACCCCTAGTGGCCTCTCAGGGATCGGTTACGTCTCAGAGAGGTTCCTTCAAAACTCGCTGCAAGTCTCGGTGACCGTTTCCTAAGCGCCTGCAAAATGAAATGGTTCGATCTTCCCATGAACGGCGTGGCGCCGGACGCGTACTTGGAGGCGTACGGTTAAGACAGTTTTAAGAGAGTTATCATTTCATCTCATAAATCAGAGGGGGGAAGCCCTGCGGCTTTAGAAGGGGACCCAGGGGACACACAATCACCGGCAAGTTTACATAATGCGTCTGCAGTTACACACTAGTCATTTAGGGTGACGGGGCGCGTTGCTCCGCGGGTGAACTAGATCGCTCTATTAAGCTGAGCAACGCAAGTGACAGCGCAGCTGCGGAGAATCACGTACGGTCCTATCTGTTCAGCGACGTGCCCACCGTCCCCTTACACGCGGGATTGTATTCTGCGTGCAGACAAGACCTGCCGCTTTGTTCAATGCACTGAAATTCCCGGCCGATTAAAAACTCACTGATAATGGAAATAGAATGCATATTCGGGGGAGCAATTTTATCAAAACTTCCTATAATTATTTTTTTTTTTCTCACAGACTTCATTTTAAAGGCTAATGAGCGTGCAGCTAGGTTAGGAATCAAACTCATTTCTAAGAAATAGGACTTTGGGGAGGGGGATGGCTGAGGGGATCGTTAAACACAAGTTAAGTCTACTATCCCAAGCGTGATATTCCATTTAACGTGCTGTTCAGGAAAAGAGACGCGGTGTCTGTGCTGGGGAGGAGATCTTACTGGAAGAAGCCTGCAGTGAGCAAGGTGTGCCTCTTTGGCCATTTCGCTGTGGGTACATTTATAATCTGGCTGTGAAATATAGCTCAGTTAACCGGAGATAAGCACGGCTTTATGGTGGGTCATAAGATGCTGTTTCATCCACTGGAGGGTATAAAAGTGCAATTCGGTTGGATATTTGAACTTGACATATCCCCACTGGGCTGAAATAGGGTAAAATTCAAAGTATCTTCTCTGTCTTCTCTCTGGGCGTACATTACCCTTGTTGGTGGGGCTTAAAGGGCCTGTGCTCAACATTTGGATGTACGTATCTAAGATTGCATTTCAGGTTGACTTGGTTTTGCATTAATAGTCACAGATAGTTTTATTGACGATTAAACATGCAAAGTCTTCATTGCAGGCTTGTTGAGCTCCTGGTGGTGGTGTGCTTGACTTAGGCGCCTCAAGGGTGAACTCACCTTTCAAAGGTCAGTGAATTCACCTGCTCTGGAGCCTCAACGGTGAACTCACCTGTCAAAGGGCAATGAATTCACCTGCTCTGGAGCCTCAAAGGTGAACTCACCTTTCAAAGGTCAGTGAGCCAGGAGTACCCTCCTATTTATGTTTCTTATGGAAATATAAACAAAGGAGACATTAGGTCAGGCCCAGTCTTGTTGCATCAGGAAGAATTTCTTGTTAAATGCATTTCGTGATGTGACTGACCCTTTGATGGGATTCTACTAAACTACTGTGTTTCTGTACGCAGGTGACCCAAAAAAATGTGTACACGCCTAAACACTGATAGCTCAATTGATGTTTCTTTCTTTTCAGATGTAACCATTGGAATTAATATTTCTTCAAAGTATGTATACGTTTTTTTGGACACCCTATATATGCAGATTTACTGAAAATATTTTTTACAAAGTAATTCTAACCAGAGCATAGAAGGCAATAATATTTTACCGAGCAGAATGGAAGGGTTAATATTAAGAGATGCCTCACTTTCTTCAACATTCAAGTTTCTTCCCTCCCCTCAACCCCCAGTGACATATCAGGTTGATTTTATTTTATTTTTTAAAAATATCTTTATTGATTTCAGAGAGAGGAAGGGAGAGGGAGAGAGAAACATCCACGATGAGAGAGTCGTCACTGATCGGCTGCCTCCTGCACGCCCCCGACTGGGGATCGAGCCTGTAACCCGGGTATGTGCCCTGACCTGGAATCGAACCTCAATCTCCTGGATCCTAGGCCGATACTCAACCGCTGAGCCACACCCGCCTGGGCGATTGGGTTGATTTTAAATATTCTATTAGAATGCACTAAAATTCGGGCTGATCAGAATATACATCAGACAAACATCTGAAATAAGATTTACAGAAAAAACAGTTGCCATGCCCTTTAAGTTGCAAAGTTGGCCGAACCAGTAAATATTTAGCAAGATATTTGCGTTCTGTAATCATATTTACTGTGTGGAGCTAGTAGGTTATTGGAAATGATCTTTTAAATCCACGGCTTTATATCCCAGAGGTAATGGCTTTCAGGCTGGTTTCAGAGGCTGGGCTGTTTGGCCCTCAGGAGGGCTTTGCCAGGAGAGAGGAGATGCCACCCACTTGGTGCCAGGCCAGTCGGGGCACAGCTCAAGTCCCTCTCACACCATCCAGAGCAATGGGGGCCAAGATCTGAGTCTAGAAATGAGCGCCCTCCATGGCTGTGAGCTTTGCTGCCTGCAGGCATGGGCCCAGAGAAGACAAGTCTGGGCTCATTCCCTCCCAGAAATACTTCTTAAAACAACTCCAAGGAAAAAACTGTTCGCTGCCTGGCATAGCTCTGTATGTTAACCACTTATAGCAAGAAGGCGTCAAAAATAATATTCTTCTGATTACATAAGAGACCTACGCATTTTTATTGTGTAACTCCCCCCCCCCCCTTCTCCGGGCACTTTCTAACTTTGCCCTGATGGAGATGGTTGTAGGAAGTTCAGAAAAGGCTGCAAGTGGAACAGGACTTAGCTGGTGAGCTCTCAGAAGCCCTCAGACTGGAGAGAGTTGAAAGGAGCGGCTTGCCGAGCCCTCGTGACAAAAAGATCGCTTCTGAGAGTGGGTCTCATGGCACAAATACAGACAAAACGTGGGGAGGGGTGGTTGCTGATGCCCGTAAACACATTAGAAAACACATTTCTCTTTTGGAGATTTCTCTCTCTTCCATACTGGCTGCTACTCCTCTCGCTTTCCTAGCAACCGCTGAGCAAGAGAGGAGACGCAGGTGATATTTTCCTGGGACGGAAACTTCGGTTGCGCCCACCTTAACCGGCCACTCGGGCTGACTTTGGCGAGGGACCCCCCTCCTGTGGCCTGGAGAGTAGCCAGCCCCGCCCAGTGCAGCTGCCGATCAGCAGCGCCCCCCGGCCCGCTCGGGGGTCCCCACTGAGCCTGGCCCTCGGCCTGTCCCCCCTCCAGGTTGCAACGAGAACGAGGCGGACCACCTGGACCGCGACCAGCAGCCCTACCCGCCCTCCCAGAAGACCAAGCGCATGCGCACCTCCTTCAAGCACCACCAGCTGCGGACCATGAAGTCCTACTTCGCCATCAACCACAACCCCGACGCCAAGGACCTCAAGCAGCTCGCTCAGAAGACCGGCCTCACCAAGAGAGTCTTGCAGGTAAGAAGGTTCCGCCGGTCGCCGCGCACACGCCTCCCTCCCCCTCGCCAGGGAAAGGAGCTCTCTCCCCTGCTGGGGCCATGCCCACGATGCCCACGGCTCCTGGGCCGCTCAGGGGCTCACCTTGGTGATGCTCCCGGGAAGGGGCCCCAAGAGACAGCCAGGATCTTTTAAAAAAAAATGCAGCCACCCCTCTCCCCAGAGACGGGGAGAGGGGTCCTCCGAGCCGGGGAGCGCAGCTGCCTCCCTGGTCTGCAGGCCTTCGGGGCGTTTTCTGCACCAGCTGTGCCTTTCGGGGGCTCCTTTCCCGTCGGGCGCCCTGCACAGTCCTGTGGGAGACCTGCCCGGCTGTCTTGGCAGCAAACTCTTGGCAGCTCACTCACCTGCTGTGACCTTCCAGGTTCAGGGCCACCCTTTTTTTTTTTTCCCAACACCCCCAGTATGGCGAGGGTCTCAGCAACCAGCTGGAGCAGGTCTTTTCCCATCTGAAGCCACCCCATTTAGAAACCCAGCACTGGGGGGCTCAGGCCGGCTGGCTTGTCCAGCTGCTTCCCCGAACTCAGCCTGGTGAGACCGTCCACCTAGTGCAAGGACGGGGCTGAGGGGGCTGCCCTGCGGCCCTCCTGCGCTCCTCAGGGACAAAGGGCAGGCGTTTGAAATCCCACCGACCAGCGCTGGGCTGTGTGGGGTCTGGTGGCCCAGGGACGTATTTCCTGCGCCAAGAGTGCACCTACCATGGGTCAGACTCAGGAACGGCCTGAAATCTGTACGAATGATGCTCATTTCATAGGCGTGAGTAGAGAGACTTTCAGGGGCCCCTCTTCTCATTCTCAAAAGACAGGGGTTGATGAATCAGGGTGTATTTTCCGGCCTTTCTCGCCGTGCCTTGGTCTCCATGGTGTCATGTGTCCTGG